TTTTCTCAGCACTTAAAGAAAATTTAGAAAAACTAAATAAGTACTTTTGTAGCCCACGATCTGGCGGTTCTAATGAGATATGACAGTTGTTTCTATCTCTTAATACAAAAAACTAGATAGACTTATACGATTAGTCAAAAATATGTACTTTTTGAGCATATAGGGATATAAATGTTAGACAAAAATTTTAAATTTTTTTTTGACTTTAAATCTGATCAAATAGCATTTTCTGATTCAGTTTTTGACGCTGATTCAGAATATGATGTTTAAAAAAATATTTAACATCGTAAATGATCTTAAAACTTAACAACTTTTGTAAAGGAAAAGAGATAAAATTACATATAACGATATTTTAGTCATTGAACTTGTTTAGCGTTTTTCTCAGCCAAACAGCGATCAAATCGGAAAAATTTATATATATTCGTGATCAGCGTTTCATTCTCTATCAAACCATATATAAATGAACGAAAAAGAAAATCCACTGTCATTTTGCATTACTGCTACCTTATAACGGGGATAACAGAACACAAAAGATTTACTTTTCTATATTTAACTTAATATATTCATCATAAAATAGAAAAAATGTATTTCAAATGAAACTGAAAGTCTCATTCAAGAATTTAAAGGATTCTTTGCATTTAAAACTTATAGAAAATCTCTATTATCTTATATATACTGTACAGAAAATCATATATGAATTTTATAAAAAAAAGACGTCATGAAATAATAAAGAAATAGTAGTCAGTTCTAGAATGACAACTACTCTTGAAACGATAGATTATCATTCATATCAGCTGCCAAAAATGACGCATAATCACCGCCACCACCAAGTTCACCTATAGTAAACGGAAGATTTTGACTGATCAACCAATCACGAAATAATTGTGCTAATCCATTACTACCAGGAATATCTTTTGGCGAGATTGTACTAAAATTAGCTGAGTTACCATCATATATGCCCATCTGAAAGTTTAGTGATCTTAACATATCATAATTAAGGTTAAGGAGGTAATCTGAAATAGGATGTGGGAATTTGGAAATTATAATCATTTCATACACACACACATACCCGTCTTTATGCTTTCGTGTTTGGCTGGATAGAAGAAGTGTTTTTGAACTACATGAAATTTATTAATTTCAACTGGAAAGAAAAATAAATTGTACACATGCATAATCCTTTATGAGGGTGGGTGGATGTCGATCATTCTTTTCCTCAGCCTGATCCAGAGCAATACTCATACTCACATTCATTCTGAAATCGATGATTCTACTTTCGATTTATTTGGACATATTCATGTGAATGCATTTGTTTGAATTTATCTATATTTCTCTAGATAAGGACCATGATTGTAAGCTTCATATCGCTTTAATTCAGTTGATTGAACTCACCATTAATTATTAAAGGGTTTCGTGAGTATTCAATTTTGTCTTTATTTTAAAAGTATAAGTATGCACATACAATTACAATAACATCAAGCCCAACGAAATATAGTAAAAGGCAAACGAACGCATGTATATTTATATATGATTATGAACATTCAGGGTATAATATGAGAAAACAAACACAAAAAAAGATGATGATATGCAAGCAAAGATATCATATAAGAAAGAGACACGTTTGAAGGTTGAATACTTATGAAAAATCAAGCAAAAGTCATTACATTAACAAGCTTTTTTAAAGTTTGACTGTTAACGATAATAATTAGTAGTAAGTCTTTATATACTAGCATGTTGTTATATTAAAGCGTTGAATTCGATTATTTTGTCTATCAGCAACCAATAGGTTCTGATATCTATCGAAGAGGATTTGTTCAGGCCACTTGAGTTGATGCGATGCTGTTCCTGATGTGCCACCAATGATTGTAGTACCAGTAGTCGCATTTTTCAGCCAACGTTGAATACGATTGTTATCTAGATATAAAAAAAGTCAAACGAGATTTTTTAATTTGTAGAATATTTTCTTTTCTCAAAAATGCTCCTACCTCCATCAGATATATAGAGAGTTCCATTACTATCGACCAGTATAGATCTTGGATTCTTCAACTGATTCGCTCTACTTCCAGCTCCATTACCTCCAGCGACAACTGTTCCATTAGTTGCACTCGTTGAACCTGACGGAAATTTTAATACACGATTATTACCACTATCAACAACATATAAAGAACTTGTATTTAAATAATCATAGTAAACACCATTTGGAGCTGACAACTGATTTAAGGCATTTCCTTTTCCATTGCCACCTATATATGAAAATAGAATGTATATCAAACAAAACATTTCTTCAAAGGAGTCATATATACCTGCTGCAACCACTGGTGGTCCACTACCATTCACAAACTTGTATATCGTATTATTACCATCGCTAACTGCATAGATATCATTAGTCAAAGAATCTATGGATATTAGTGCTGCTCGAAATATAGAACCAACAACAGTTCCAGATGTCGTCGAAGTTGAATTTGATGGAAATCTAACGACCCGATTGCAACCGTAATCTGCTGTATACAATTGACCAGAACTATCAAAACCTATTCCATCAGCAGCATCAAACTGATTCATTTTGCAACCCTGGCCATTACTACCAGCAATTACTGTTGCAACTGAAGGCGGATTAGTGATAGGAAATTGTAGAACACGATAATTTTGATTATCCACAACCGTTAAAATATTATTAGGTTCGTCATAATACATTCCAATTGGTTCAAAAAGAAGTGAAAGGTTAGAGCCAGATTTACCTCCTTGACTGCCAAATATGGTAATAGCAGTTTGTGACCAGGTACATCCTATATAAAGACAGAAAAAGAACAACCATTTTATTATCCAATGTAAAAACAGGATTTTCTAAAAAATAAATTTCTTTATTTTATAAAGATAAAGAATTTTTATATTTATTCTTTCTTAAAAGAATAATAAAGATAATGAGATATCTGATATTTCCATCAGATTAGACAAGTAAGAATCAACTAACAAAATATGATTGATGTTTTTTCATTAAATAGCCTGTTACAAGTTATTGTAAGTAATTGATCAACTTCTTTCTACCTCTCTTTGAACACAGACATACCTGCTTCTGTTGTTGTTGTTGATGGGTTTTTTGTTGTTGTTAAAATCGATGTTGTTGATCCTTTTTCTGTTGTTTTCATCATTATTGTTGTTAAATTTGTTTCAACAACGTTTTCCTTTTTCGTGAGAATAATAGCTGTTGGAATAGTAATGCTCGCTATTATCACAATAGTAAATATGATCCACGCCAATTTACTTCGAATACATACACATCTAAAATTAAAAAAATGTTTTTCATCTATTAAAGCGTAGAATACACGTACGATTTTCTCGATTGAGTAGGTTGTATTTCACCTATATCGCTGTTAACTGACTCAGGCTACAAGGTAAAGAAAAAAAACGAATCAGTTTTTTTTTCATAATAGATCATATCACAAACACTTATTTTGTTGCTTTGATCCATTCGTAAAGCTTCGTCAAAATTTTGTAACGTTATGAAATTAAATCTAAAATATTTCGGAAAAAGATGATATAAAAAAACTTTTAGATTTAAAGACAAAGTAATATCTAGAGAGCCATATCATGAAGACGTAAGAGCTTTTCATATCAAATACTTTCCTGAACCGGCTTACAATCAAAATGAAGAAAAACAAAATTGAAAATGCATAAAATAAGAGAAAAATATTTGTCTACTTGATGAGAATATTCATCATAAACTTAATAAATGAAGACTTTATTGCAAAGTTTAAGAGAAGACAACAAGACGTGCTTTTTATTATTTAGAATCTATCATTGACTTAATAACTGAAAATCTTTCTAATAATGTTAGGAAAAGTAAAATCATGATTTTCTCCCAGATTCATCAATCATAAAAGATTACAATAAATCAACAATATGCACGTAGGTGTTTAACATATAGAAAAAAAAGTACAAGAATAAGTTAGATATAATTATAAATGATATTTTCAACATTTATACCGTTCAACAAGGACTACATAAGTATGAGTACAAAATGTCATCAGATTAAAACGATATGTTATCACTTACTGAGACAAAGATACATGTATTGATATGAAAACATTCACTGATCCTAATTCTAAGAATTATTGAAATTGGTATTCATCATTTCAGTACTTCTACGATTTTTGAGCCAATTCATGTTTTTATATATTCTTTTTCATCAAGCGTCAAGACCCAATTGCATTCGTATTTGTATATCTCATTTTTTTTTAGAGAAATTTTTAATCTATCTTTCAATATGCTTTTAGAAAACTCTTGATTTTGATTGATATTATTTGAATAAGAAATGCTTTATGTATTTCTCATTCATTTTATTTTATATTACTAGAGAAGAGAGAGTAAAGATTTTTTCATTACAACTGATTAATTTATGATGAAAATATTTCGAGAGTATTTTAAAAGTTAGATATTTATTTTATTTTATTTAAAAATTCTTTGATTTTATAATATGATTTGCTAATCATAATTGCTCATCATGAATTTAAAAGTCAATAAGTAATCTTTACTTGATTTTGTTCATTATTAAATGAATATAAGAATTTTTCATTCTAGCTAATGGCTTTATTAAAATAAATTTTTTTTAAAAATAAGTGTATTAATTGTTTTTCGCTTTTGAGGGTGCTGGTATTGCTATGATTTTCATGTATACCAGTTATTCAGATCTACACCCACACCCTTACATTATTCATTTCTTAAAGACTACACAATACCAGAGAAATAAAAAAAAAACATGAGTGATGATTAATTTAATGAGCATGTTGTTGTAATACATTTTCAAAGTAATTTTTTTTCATCGATTATTTATATACACATATAAAAGCGCTTCATCAATTGTGCATGAGAATTTATTGGAATGATATAAGTACGTCATTGGCTTATGCTCATATGAATTATATTCATCATCAAACCATCAGCAGCTTTTTTTTCTCATCTTTTATATTTTTTAGGCGCCTGCCCACATATGATTTTATATCGTATTCAATTTCTTTTTGTTTTGTTTTGCATACTTCATTCACAATCCATTCGACCATTTTCAGAATATTTATTTTTTTCTCCTTTTATATAGTATAGTAAAGCTTCTTTCTTTAAGAGAGAATGTTTATCTTTATTAAATCTATGTTATTAAAACATAAAAGATATTGATCAATGTCCTTTTGTTCATTTTTCTGTTCAATAAAATAAAATTCATGCATTTATCATTAATGATGAGTGATATTCACTGTAGACAACTCATTTTTATGAAAAAATCTCCACTGGATGAATAGTTTTCTGAATAAGATAGCAGTTTCATTCATATTTGTGCTTGGTTTTATAGGTCTTAGATAATCAAATAGTAAGAAAATGAAATTTTCTTCTAAGATACTATTTTTTTGCTCAGGAGGAAAAACCGGATCCTATGGATTTCGATAGATCTCAAAGTATCTTAGAGATCCATCTGGAGAGTATGGAAGTGGATGAGTGTTAGGATGTAGGAACAGTCATTCTATACTAAAATGTTGAATATTACGAAATCAACTGCAGCTCAGAGCCAATTACTATCTAATTTCAGGAACACGATCGTCATACATCATACGAGGCCGGGCGAATGACTTTTCGTACTACGCTTTACGAAGTATGGATGTGGGTGGGTGTATATGTGGGTTTGGGTATGTGCGTGAGTGTATCTTATTGATTGCACCCACACCCACCCCTCACACACACACACACACACCCATGACTATTAGACATAATAAATATAAAAATGAAAACAAAAAGATTAAAGAATATTTATTCATTTAATAATTCATATAGAATATCGAAAAGAAAAATCACCGGTTAACAACGATATATAAAAAGACAAACGTACTGTTTTTATTATATATAAAGTTTATACATCAGTTTGAAAAAAAGAAGTTAATTTACTAGACGTATCTTCAGTTTGTAGATCAGAATCACTTGCATGTTTCAAACGATTTATCATTGGTGTTTTTGATGTTAATCGATTTCGATCTTCATGAATATTATCAATTGGTTTAATAAACAGTGTTGGAGCTAATGCTAATGGATTACTTAATCGAAGTCGTTCAATAGTACTCATACTATTAACTATCAATTTTGGTGCTAAAGAAAAGTAAAAAATTCTCTCGATTGTGTTTATTTAATTATTTTTACATACTTTTAACAATTCTTGCATACATAGGTGTGTCGGATAGAGATATTGTTGATGTTGGCATATTATTATTATTATAATTGAAAAAAACTGAACATTTATTATCTGATGTTTTTGCTGGAGAATTTAATAAAATTTGATCAAGATCCGAAGAAACATTTGATGATTCAGTTAAATCAATATCATTTTGTTCAGTAAAATTTTCTGTTAAATCCGATAAAGTATTCATACGAATATGATAATTTACTTGACTATCTGAATTACGAATATTAAAATATTCTATTATTAAATATAGAAATAAAATTTTATTTATAAATAAAAATTTATTAACTTACTTGCAGGTGATGATGAAACTAAAAAATTTGAAAAAAATAAATATATACAAATAATAAATTCGGAGGACAAAATCCGGAAAATTTTTGAAATGCGATTCAACAATTTATTTAACAAAGAACTATGTACAGGAACGAAGAGAAATCATTTGATTTGAAGAGAAGTGATGTAGTTCACTTTTTAGTAGCCGCCAATAAAGAAAGTCCCACGAGATATTCATTGTGATCGATCTCATCGCTCTCGAAATGTTTGGCAAGGGTATGGGTGTGGGTGTGGATAAAGCATGGACTCAACACCCATACTCACTAGGTGCACGTCTGTGTATATTTCCTAATAGAAGTGTAGGGCACAGTAAAATAGAATGGCACTCGGTAGACGATAATCATGATTGACGTAGACAACCAGAAACATTTATGAAAGAATACTATCATTCTCTTCTGTTAGAACGATATCAGAAATTTTCCGGATTTCAAGACATATTCATTAATAATACTTACAATCAAATAAATCTGTTGTTTGTGGTATATCTGTATCATCTAAAACGAATTTCATAATTATTAATAGTCTAGAAAATACTCAAGAATTACTAACCATACTCAAACGATGTATAATCATTACGACAATTATCTGATAAGGCATTTATTTGGTCAATAGTCGAATAATATTTTGAATTATGCTAATTAAACATAGATTAAGATTTCTTTCTTCTTCCTTTTTATTTTACTTACATAATTATGATTTAAAAAATCAAATGGTTGATGAAAATCCTGTTAAAAGAAATAAATTAGATTTAGTTACTAATAATTAGCGAAGGAATTTTCTATCAAAAAATATTTGATAACTTAAAATATCATTTCGATGGTGTTAAACTTTACTCTTTCATAAAATTGATCTTACTCTTTCATCATAATTGTTTATTATTGAATCTGAACGAATATTATCTGCAACTGTTATCAATTTAGTTGTTTGTTTTTTATCACAATCTAATTTTACTAATGTATCCATTGGACTTTCGATTTGATTCATTATTAATGATGATTTATGAACAAGTAATGGTGAAGAAACGGATAATTTATTTCGATGAAATTTTCTTTTGTATTTTTTACAATAGTATAATATTGATAATAATAAAATACATATAATAATTATAATAATTAATGTAATATATATAGACCTTTTTATTGTAGTTGACAACGAAATCAATGTAGGAATACATGTATATGATTTATTAGAATTTGATACAAATGGTATACATTGTTTATTAAAATGGCATGGTTGACTTTCACAAGGATATAAATCATATTCACATTGACGACCAGTAAAACGTTTTGTCGAACAATTGCATATAAAACTAAATCCATTATTTGTACAGATACCTCCATGATAACATGGGTGATATAATGAACAAATATCATCATTGTCAATATATTCTCGAACGATTTCTACTGATTGACAACCATTCTTTGTACCAATAAATTCTATTGAATTATTTTGAGACAAAATTGATTGATTATTTAATGTTACATTTCCTATACATCCATCAAAATCAGAACCAATTATTAATTGAGTATAATTTTTTGAATATGCTTTTTGATATAAACTAATTTTATCACTAAAAACATAATCAAGTCGAAGAAGATAATAAAAATAATTATGAGAATAATCAATTGAAAAATAAATATCATGCCATTGACCATCATTAATTAATAAATGATTTATTTGTAGCAAAATTTGTTCATTTAATTCAATTTGAATATAACCATTAATAATCTGTATAGTTAATGAATGCATATTTTCATTGAAATAAATTAATTTAAATAATTTTCCTTGAGTTAATTCTGTTCGAAAACTAAATGTTATATTTAGATGTTGTATTATACTCATTGTTAAATTCATTTGAATTAAACTATAACCATCGAAAGTCAACGTATTCGATGAATCTAAACAAACAGATGGAATACATTCAAGTTTGATTATTATTATCAATAATAGTGAATCACGAGAAAAATTTCAGTTAGGTTTAAAAATATTCAAGTGTGGGTAGATATGACCCAAACCCAAACTGTTTGAGTTTGGTGAGTTTGGGTTTGCGTACATAAGTTTCAGTGTCGGTATTGAGTTTGAGTTTAAGTTTTGGGTGTGGGTTTAGTATCCAAATCCCGAAATAGTTTGGGTTCGAGTTTGGGCTTGTGCTTTTTTAATCTGTAGAAGACACTATTTTCGATACATTGATGGCAATTAAAAGAAAATCTAAACCCAAACTGTTTGGTGGTTTTGGTACTACACTCAAACCCAAACCCAAACCCAAAACCAAGCTCAAATTCATTAAATCAAACCCAAACTCCCAAACGGGTTGAATATGAGTTTGTGTTTGGGTCATGTCTAAGTATAGGTGAGGGTGTGGGTGTCGATGGGTGTGGGTTTGCATGTGCGCGTAGATGCAAAATGATAACAATACCTTCGACTACATCTACCTACGCTCTTATTTTTCAGAGACTGGAATAGGAGAAAATTTCTTTAGTTTACCTCGACATGTTGGTGAATTAGTATTAATACATTCATATGAATTTTCTATAGCAATATCATCATAATTACATAATTCATCCATACATTGACATGTATAAAATGTTGAATTTAATTCAATACATCTTTCCATTGGTAAACAAGGATTTGATGAACATGGTGATTGTTTATTTTCTTTAAATTGACAATATTCTCCATAATAATTATTTTTACATAAACATTTTATATTTCTTTTATATTTTGGTATTAAACGTTCATATGTATTGTAATACAAATATTCATATTGATTATTTAATAAATTAATATAATTAATACAATATCCATCATGTTCACATGGATTTGATTGACATTGATTGTAAAGAATTTTTTCAAAAATATTCGTTGAATTTTTTAATAGATTATAAAGAAATTTTTTATGTATATATCGGATTGATATTGAACGTGCGACAGCAATAAGTAATTCAATTTGATTATGTTTTAAATCAAACGTATAGATATGAACATGATGTGTATGTACACCTATAATTTGAGCTAAATTTTGACGTATTAATGGTAAATTATGAATAATAAATTGTTCGTAGGTTGTATTAGGATTTATATTTATGATTAATGATATTGTTCGATTTAACATTTCATTAGTAATAGACCATAGATGAATATTAATTGTTTGAGGTTTTATTGTTGATGGAAAAAAAACTTTTGTTTTATTATGAAAAAGAATTTCCGGTATGGGTTTTGATAGAGTAATAGGTATTATATGAATTTGAAAATTAACAAGAGATGATTGATGAGAAGGTTTGAAATAAAGTTCAGTTTGATTATTTGATAGATATTTGAGGAAAAAATGTTTATGTGATATTAATTGAAAATAAGTATAGGAGTATTGAGATTGATTATGTAGAGATAACTGACCTAATTTAATTGCAGATGAATTTTCTTGAAAATTTACATAACCATCAATTGTTTGTACGAGAAGTTTTGGATATGGATTTTGATATTGAAAATAAATAATACGAAGATATAAATCTGAAAAGAATATTTTACTATCCCAAACACGGATAATTAAATTATCTTCATGATTATTATTAACCGATTTCATAAGAATTAATTCAGTTGAATTTGAAGACGTACGAAGTCTATAAGTTAATGAAGTATCATTTATAATTTCATAGGTTAAAATTGATTCATCTTTATCAATAACATGAATTCTATAAAGAATTGTATTGATAATTGGATAAAAAAAATAATAAAGCGTCGTAAAATTTTGTATTAAAAATTTCGGTGGATTATCATTTAAATTTTGAATATATATTGTAAGATTCAACGATGATAATGAAATTGACTAGAATATAAAAATGTTTATTTATAAATTCTGATCTATCTTCTATTTGTTATATTGAACTACTCATTTCAAAATAAAAGGTAGGTACGTATTCTTGTGAAGAGCTATCAATAGGAACAAGATGAAGAGTCACGGTTTTCAACATTGGAAAGAAACGATGAAGACCCTTATCGATAGAGTACGGCGGTTCCGGTCAGTATATATGAGAAAAAAGCGATTCCGGTTCGGTTTCTAGAAAACAATGTAGAACCGGAAACGCATCCGTTAAAGTATCATACAAATATGAATTATTTAATGACTGACATT